CTTTTACAAGAAGAGTTAAAGTGGTACTAGAAGTCAAGAGGCATGTGGATTGAGCAGGGTAATAGAAACACCAAATACTACCATATGAGGATATTAATTTGAAGGAGGAGGAATAAGGTCTGTATGCTAAAAAATCAAGATGGTGAGTAGGTGAATGAAGATGTTTGAAATCAGTAAGTTGATTAGTAGCTTTTTTTGGAAGCTATTATATGAAGAGAGGGGTGTTAGAGACTGGCATGTTACACATCAAGGTTGGGACCATTTTCATCCTAATGTTATTGCAAGGTTAGGAAGGCTTTAGTTGATGAAGAGTTATGGAAGGCTTTTGCAGCTATAGGGCCCTTTAAAGTCCCTGAGGAGGATGGATTCCTTGATTTTTTATCAGCAGACTTGGGATGTTATGGGACCAAGTGTGACAAGGTTAATTAAAATGTTATGGAAAAATCTGAGTAAGTTGTCTAAAATCAACAAGATTGTACTAGCGATGGTTCCCAACATTTATAATCCTGAATTGGTTTTCCATTTTAGACCAATTGCTTTGTGCTATGTACTATATAAGGGGGTGAAAAAGATTCTTGTTCAGAGGCTAAAAGGAGCATTGAATAGATTGGTCTCTCATTTTCAAGTAAGCTTTATTCTTGGCGGTAACATTCAGGATAACATTATTATTGCTACAGAGATTTCTCATATGATGAATAGGATTTAAAGGAGGAAATGGTACATAGCTATCAAGATTGATTTCTAAAAGGTGTATGATAAGATAAGATGGGGTTTTATTATAAGGGTGCTAGTGGAGATTAGCTTTCTAGATCATCTAATTGAGCTAATTAGATGATGTTTGTCTACTATGAAAATGACTGTTCTTTGGAATGGGGAGAAAGGAGATTAGGTTTAGCCTTCGAGGGGAGTGCGTCAAGATAACCCTTTATCTCTATATCTCTTTGTATTAGGTATGGCAAAGCTATCTCACATTATCTCTTATGTTGTAAGTAATGGTAAGTGGATTCCACTATAGGTAGGAGGAGATAGTACTCCTATTTTGCATCTGCTTTTTACAGATGACTTGTTACTATTTTGTGAAGCTAAGACTAATTAGTTGTTAAATGTTATGGAAAGTCTTCATCTATTTAAGGCAGTTTTGAGGTAGAATGTTAACAAGGAGAAGACAAGTATATACTTCTCAAAGAATGTGTCGACAACTAAACACAATAGTCGAACTTGAAGAAACAAGTTTTAGTTTTTGATTAATAAAGTGCAAAATAAACTTAGTGGTTGGAAGAAACAAACCTTATCCCTAGATGGCAGAATTACACTTGTTCAAGCTATTACTTTGCAAATGGAAGTTTTTAACATCCAGCATATTGTTCTTCTAGTTAGTGTTTGTGATAAGATTGAGAAGCTGCGAGGGGATTTTCTATAGGGATCTTCGGATGAGAAGAGGAGGGTCCATACAATAAGTTAGGATGTGGTATGTAAGCCTAAGGAATTAGGGGACCTTGGTATTAGATATGAGATTGATGAATGAGGCACTTGTGGCAAAAGTTGGCTAGAACTTAGTTGTAAATCCTAATAATTTGTGTTCTAGGGTTCTCATAGACAAATATGAGAGGGAATTTGACTTAAAGGCAACATGTGTGGCTAAACCTTAGGATTCTGTTTTGTGGAAGTTTGGCTAATTTTTGGCCAAAGATTCTTGAGATGATGGCTTGGGAATGTAGGGATGGAGATTCTATAAATTTTTGGCAAGATGTTTGGCTTGATGATCAAACATGTTGTTAGATTTTTTGTATTAGAAGGCATAAAGGGAGACTTTTAGACTGTAAGGTGTAAGATATGGTCAATGAACATGGGAGCTGGGAATTTATTTTTTTTTCCTCAAAGATTACTTACCTGATGATGTTTTTTGAGATTGCATGTTGTGCCCTCAAAGAGAATTGGGAGCTGATTGTATTCATTGGACGTGTGCTTCTAATAACAAGTATTGTGTTTCTTATATGTATTATCATATTGGGGGTTCTGGTGGAGTGGTTTTTAGGAGTTGAAATTCGCTAATGAAATGGGTTTTAAGAAGATAATTATGGAAGGAGATTCAACATCTGTTATCAGCATGTTGCCCACTAACTACCCAAAAAAAAAGAAGATTGAAAATATATTTTATAAAATTAAATAATTAAACTAAAATATTATACTCTCTCTGTTAAAAAATGTAAAGCATTTTTAGTCTTTTAAAGTATAATTATTGCCTTTTTTAAAAGTGCTCTTATTGATAATGACTTTATATTTATTGTAGGGTGTTTAATATGGATAAATATAAAAATATAGTGTTAGTTTGAAAGGAAGTAACTACTTTATTAAAAGTAAGATTCGATTAAAAATACCTTATATTTTTGAACGAAAGAAGTATAAAATTAGAAGTATAAATGTGCACTTTTACCTTCTCTCACACACACTCATATTCATTTAGAAAAATCAATTTTTTAGCCATCCTTATTTTTATTTCCTTTTTTTAAGACTTACTGTTTATTTGATTTCCAAATATACTCCCTATAATTTATTAATAGATTGCAAAAAAATAAATAAATAAGGTCATATTTTTTTTTCTTAAATTCTTACAGATTTTTCGCTAATGTGAGAATCCCCTTACTTGCTGTCTTGCTCAACATATGAATAAAATTATATTTTTAATATTTTAAATTGAATATTCAATATTCTTTAAACGGATATTAGATAAAAGTTAATAACTTAAACACTTTTTAAAATATTATCCTATGTTCAATATTAAAATTACATTGAGTTGTGAAAAAAATAAAGGAACAAGAGCAAAAGTTGCTTGGAACCCTATAATTCTATGAAATATATTGTAAAAAAAATATTGAATGAATGGATGAAAAAAAAAAATATCATACCTTAAAATTCACCATAATATAGAAATTCAAGTCTGACTCACCCAATTGATCACTGTTTAACTATAGTTTTAACCAGTAATTCTTAAATTATTAATTATAATTTTTAAAGTATTAATCATGTCAAATACTTCATGTGCGAGCTTGGTCAAGTTGTGCCAAGCCCTGCAAAAAGCAACATGTGGTTTTGGCCCCGAGAGCACCTAGCCATGAATAAAATTTTTAAATAAAATAAAAAAATATTTTATTTTATTAATCTTTTTTTTAATTATGTTAGGCTAAAGTACATTTTTAATTTTGACTTTATATAAGGCTTTAATTTATTTTTAATTTTGTAAAATATTTTTTAGTCATTTAATCCTAACATCATTTGTTTCAAATAATTATTTTTTATATCAATTATTGTCATTTTAAAAAAAATTAAATTTAATATGTTAACATTTAAAATTTTTTTGACAATATTTGAAAGTGCATTATAAAAATTTGTTAGAATAAAACAAACAATGTTAGAATTAAATGACTAAAAAAATATTTTTATAAAATTAAGAAACTAAAACGAAACGTGTAAAATTAAAAAACTAAATGCATACTTTAGCCTTTATATTATTAATCAAAAGTATATTAGCAAAATTATATTCTCTTTGTTCTAAATTATAAGACAAAATTCTAAAGGATGTGTTCTTATATGTGAACAATTAATAATTTTATTTTCTAATACTTTTAATCCATGAACAAATAAGATGTGATCTAACTTGGAAAATTATAAAAAAATTAAAACCACTAGTGTTTTATTAGTTGCCCATCAATAAGGTCCGGCATATACTTCCACCTTATAGATTATAAATCAAATTTTTGTTAATTAAATTAACTTTTATTAATTACCAAATTAACATTAAAATCTATTTCATGAGATACAGGATTTGAAGTCAAAAAAATTAAAGATTAAAGGTCATTCTTATTTGTGAACTGTTTATAAAAGGTCACAAATGCTTTTAAACTCAACTGTAAGTCAATTCTGTCTTTCAACTTTAAAGATTTCCTTTTTCATCATCCTGTTATTTTCTCACCATTAGTTAATCATTAGTAGACCCCACATTATATTTTTTTATTATAAAATATTTGAGTTGAAGGGTAAAAATGACAATTCAAATAAAAGTTGAGGGGCAAAAATGACTCTTAACTTAATAAAAATATTAAAAAATAGTGAAAGTCATTTTAACGTCAGGATGATGATTGAAAAAATTTTTAAAGTTAAGGAAAAAAATTAACCCATAATTAAATTTAAGAGTATTTGTAATCTTTTATGTACAGTTCAAAAATAAAAATAATCATTAATTCAAAAGTTAAATCCAAATCTACATGTAGCATTAAGCTTGAGAAAAAATATTGCTAACCCTAAATAGTGCATCTTCATGTAATTTTATTTTAACGTTATACATATACATTTATATACATATATCAATCATGTGTATGTAGCCCCGCACCCACGTTCATCATACTGAGGGCAATTGCCCCCACAATCCGATTGAAAAATATTACCTAAAATGATTTTAATTATTTTAGTTGCCCCCATAAAAAAAAATTTTATTTGCCCCTTCAATTCCAAAAATTTAACTTGCCCCCTTATAAAATTTTACTATCCCATTAGAAAATTTATTATCTCAAATTTTATATGTTTTATGATATTAAATAGTAATAATTTTAAAATCAGAAGGTAATGATTTTAAAAAAATTGTAGATAAAAATTTTTATCACAAAAAATTCTCTGCCTCTATAAATTCTATTTGATGAAAATGAAAAAAAAAAATCATTCTAATAAATATAAAAGATTTGTTCATATAAAAAGAGTATTTTATGTTATTATAATGATGTTTCATGAGTTTTTAGTATTTAATTTTATTACCTTATACCTTAATATAATTAAATAGATATTTAAAATTATATTTTACATAAATATTGATATTTATTTATATATAAATTATTTCCTCATTGATTTATTTTTTTGAGCAGTCGTTGTGTGTATGAATTTACATTTGCTTTGATTTAGGTGGATTTAAAATTTTTTGGTTAAAACATAAGAAAGAATTAAAAAGAAAATGCCAGTAAATCCATCATCATCATCATTATCTAGAAAAGTGAAAAGAGAGGTTGAAAAGTTTCTGGTTCAAGGGTTAAAATTCTGTGGACTAAGATTACCAAAAGAAAAAAATTCTGTGGACTAAACTAATCAATCATGCCTACTTGTTTACACTTTTTGCAATATCATATTCTTATATTTATAAACTATACACTACGTAAGCAACATCAGAAAAAGCTATTCCACCAAACATACGCCGTCAGATCTTCTTCTGATTTATTCTCAACCATACGATCATCCTCCCTCGCGCTGCTTCTTCATAGCTCCACCGGGACAAACGGGGTCACCACCGTAGACGACGGCGGATCGTAGCAGAACGGCGCCGCCGGATGCTGCCACTTGTTGAAAACTACATTCTCCGGCTCCGCGCTAGGAAGCCTTCTCTGTTGCTGCGGCTGCTGCTCTTGTGGGGGCGCTCCCTCCCTCGCAGTCTCCGTCGGCGGTGCTTCCTCCATCGTCGGCGACAGAAGCGGAATCGCCACATTCCACTCACAGGACCGATTTATAAGTAACGACGACGGTGCACGCCGTTGCAATCTGCTCGGCTGACGCCGGCTTCCGGCGCTTAGTTTGCTAATCTGAGATGCATCAGCCATGCCGGCAAGTATCGATCGGATTAACAGAACAGAAGATAATCCGCTAGGTCGCTCAGGAACGGGTCGGATCGTTTCTTTCAAAACGGATCTGAAGAGATACAGAGACGACGGCGAGACGGAAAACTGAAAGGCGATAGAGAATCTGTTTGAGAGATGAGCGGGTTCGGCGAGGCATATATGTATGCGAAGTAGCCTCTGAATGTGTGTGAGAGTGACGCGCACATGCGCGTGTCAGATCTGTGTCTTCGGAAACGTTATTTTCATATAAATAATTATTATTTCTCAACGTTTAATTTTACATAAATTTTATAATTTATGTTAAGATTATTATTAATGGACGAGATTGGTATCATTTAACTTAGTTACTTGTGCTCAATACACATTAATGTTGATATCTTGAGAAAAAATAATAATAAAATTGGTACCAAAAGAAAAGTATAATAGATAAAATTTTGAATGAAATTTTAAAGTAGTACTATTGAATTAAATTTAAAAAATTAATTTTTTAATTCTTTAATTTTTAATTCATTTGTAACTCAATTCTCAACTATCACTTTCATATAACTCAGTCCCTCAACTTTTAATTCGCTTATAATTTAATTCCTCAACTTTTATTAATTCTCCTTTTTCATACTAATTTAAATCTCATGTCAAAGAGCAAGAGAAGAGTATTTTAAAATAATATATGAGCATTTTTATCTCTATTATTTGATAAGGAATTTTGTTAGAAAAATTGAAAAATAATGACTGAATTATAAGTGAATTAAAAGTTGAGCAATTAAGTTACAGTAAATTATAATTAAAAAATTGAGTCACAATGAGTTATAATTAAGAAACTAAATTATAAGTGAATTAAAATTTAAAGTACTATAAGATTAATTTTTTTTGAAATTATTAGTTTGAGGGTATTAGCGCGCGTGTATCTAACTGTCTATATATATATATAATGTAATAATCAGAATTTACTGATTCAAGGTTATGCATGTTTTTGGATGATTCATTGAACAAAACAACTTTTTTTAACACATACATTGCAAATAATCATTTAAAAATTTAAAAATTTGAATCAACAATACTATTATCAGTAGGAATGATTACTTTTTAATATGTATAAAATAACTACTTTTGCCGTTCTGGTGTTTTTAATTGATATTTTAATATAAAATATAAAATTTGTTGGAAACCACCGCATGTACAAAAGAGATAAATCGTATAGATAAAAATGTTTAGTTCAAAATAAAATTAAATGTATGAGATTATCATGGTAAATCAAAATCGGATAAGATTGATACACTATACATTACCATCTAGAACATTCTCAAATTTACAAGATAATCAGGATAGGAATTGATGTTATGGTAATATTTAAACTTACTGATTATGTTTAAACACTAACTATTTTGATAATGAATATTTTAAAAATAAAATGAATATAAGAAGTTTTAGTAGAGAGAATAAGGAAAAATTACATATAAATCCTGTATAAGAGATATCTATAAATAAATTTCATGAAATTCAAAATGTATTGACAAATTTTTTAAAATTTGAGTGTAATTTGTAATTAGAGTGTAAAAAGTAAAAATAATATTACTCTTGTTAAATTATATCAAATTATATATGCAAAAAGAATATATTTACATTTATAAAATATGAAATATAACTTGTGAATTAAAAATTTTTACTTATAAATTATAAAGTTGTAAAGATGTAGTTTTAGGTAAGTGATAAATATGATTTCAATGCATTGATATTTTTTTCTTGTTTTGTTTTAGTAAGTAGAGACATTAAGGTTTTTTCACCTAAAATTTTAACAATTGATTTAAAGAGACTTAACTATATTTTTTCAAATCCATTGGATCTATTTATAAATAAGTCCGTTACATGAGACCTCAGAAAATAATTTAGCTCATGACAAATTAAAAAAAATAAAAATTTAAAAAAATTAGTCATTTATTTCTTATAGTTTTTTTTTTGAATGTAATTCAATCATTAAACTTTAACTAAATGTAATTCAATTTTTATAATTTTAATATAGTTAAAATCTAGTTCCTAAATTTAAATCAATGCAACCTGATCCCTATATTTGTAGTCCTTCATAACATAAACACCCTATATTTGTAGTCTTCCAAAACATAAGCACCTAAGCTTCACACAATAACTTTAGCCCTTATAATTTTTTTTTTTAAATATTAAAACCAATACTTTAAATGATTAAAATCATTAAAACTAAGTAGCACTAGATTAAAGTTCAGAAATCAAGTTTCAATGAATCAAATTTAACTATTGAGATTAAATTATGCTAAATCAAAACTTTAAACAAAATAAATAATTATTTTTTTAAAAATTATACATATCAGACATTGTTAGTCAAAGTCAGAAATAGATGGTATAGCAGTAATAATAGTAATAATAATAAGATGTGGTTGTCTTTTAAGATAAAGGTTCATGTTCTAAACAAGTGATTGAGATAAGCAAAACCACCGGCCCTTTGACTGTGAACCTTGGGGGTGTGGCCGTCAAAGCTAACGTCGGCATCAACCCCACGTTTGCCTTCACCATCATCGCACAAACCTAACCAATTAGATTAGACTATCTCATCCAACGGTCAGATCTCTCCTTCATCTGACGGCTCGCGGATTGACTACGTGGTCAATTTTCTGACCAATGCTTGCCATGACATGTGTCATTGTGGTATTGCACGTTATTCCTATTGTCGTTTAATGGTCAAAACTAAGATTTTTATTATTTATTAATTTTCTTTGGGTTGATTGCATTTGCATGATGCAATTTGTTTGTTGGCGTCACTGTCGTTGTATGTCAAAATCTGATGGCCAACCTCAAGTTGTCCATTTGCTGATGGTTTTTGCTTCTTGCAACGCTTTCACGTTCAATCGCCACAAGTTGAACAAAGCAATCAAGCTTTTTGGTTGAAATGGAAGATCCATATTAGACTCAAGCTTATCAAATTTAGGATATGGTTTTCAAGAATGTTATTCATCTTCTAAAACAATATGATCTAGAGAATTAGAGGCATGCCCTGATTCCCATAGCCTAGTGAACCTGGTAGTCTTCCTTAATTCCTTAGAGCTGAGCAAACTTTATTTTCTTAAAAAAAAAATTAGTTAAATTATATATGACTCCCCTGAATTTTGACCCATATAGACATAACACTTTTACCTTTTAAAACTTTACAATGAATCCCTTCAACTTTTATATTAATGTAGACAACTTCATATGATTAATTTTATATATTAATTATCTAAACATAACTTAAAGTCTAGAAGGTTATTAATTTATCCATCAAATTTTGGGGTTTAAATGCGCACAAAACTCAAGTAAAGGGTATATAATTAAGGGTTGAAGGTTATTTGCATAAACCCAAAGATTCAAGAAGGTTTATTATTAAGTTTTAAAGTTAAAGAAGTTATTTGTATATGGTTCAAAATTTAGGAGAGTTTTATGTAATTTAGCCAAAAAAATTTGGGTTAAAAACCATTTTGTTTCTAAACTTTTTTTTTGAGGAGTATTAAGCACTTTATACTAAAAAAGTGGGGCAATATCCTTTTAAATAATTTTTTTAATGAGCAAAAGCACCCTTCATAGGCATGTCATTTTCTCTATTATCTATTAAAATAAAATAGTTATGGGTCCTTTACACGGTGACAATAAAGCATTCTAATTTATTGTGATGTTGTTTTTATTGCTTAAATCAAGCTAAGTTCCTACCATTATTACTGTTACTTCCAGTTTCTTTGGCTCACATCAAATAGCTAAAATGAATCAAAATGCTTTGCTATTATTGTGTGAAGGCTTTATAATTATTTTACATCAGCAGATAATAAAGAAAATGAAGGATCTATGATGAAAAGGCAATTTTGCTTTAAAAAAAATTACTTCAAAGGAATATTATTCCACTCTTTTGTCACAGAGTGCCAAGTACCTCTTGAAATAAAGTTTAAGGGAGAAAATGATATTTAATCCAAAAAAATTTTGAAGATGTGGATTGATCTTGAATTAGATGTAGGACCTTAAGCCCAATATTAAAGTAATTTTGTCATTATAGATTAAATAAAATATAGTCGGATCTATGTTTTTCCCCAGCCACTCTGCTATTACTCAAGATGAGCATAAATCAATTCGAATTTAATCTTAGTTGAGTTTGTAAATTGACCTAGCGGTGACCTAAATCACATCCAAGTTTTAGTTTGTACAATATGATATTTTGTAAATTGTAATCGAGTAGGCTTAAAACATCATCCTATTATATAACAAAGAGATTTATAATAATGATTTTTCCATTCAATTATTTGGGTGTGCATGTTTCTAAGTAGATTTTTCTTCTTCTTTTTTTCCCCCTATCGTGTTTATAGTTTGTAGTTATCACACTGAGCATATTTTTGTGTATGTTTTAGATAATATAATATAATATAAATTGATGGGTGCAAGTATCTAGAATGTACTACTGTTGTCATTAGGAACTTTGTCACATGAAATGATGACTAGAAATATTAATCTAGAATGCCTTTTCTTTGGTTGAACTCAATTAAACTAGTCCTCTGTTATCCTATGAAATTTCTCATATCACAATTTGTTTATATCAAATTGACAAAATCAGGATATCTATTAAATTTAAAAAATATTTATAAAAGTATTTATAAATTATCAGCAATGAAATTCTTATACGGATAGTAAAGTTTGATCACATGATTTTATAAATTATAAGTTAAATACTTATTAAGTGAAATTATAAGTTAAATACTTATTAAGTGAGCAAACTTTATTGATAAGCTACATATATTGTTGACAGGGACTTAAACACATAGCATGGGGCCCAAGATTTAGTTTCTTGATATGGCATGAGATATTAGCATGGCGAAACACCTCAGTGTCTATCTATTTCCATAGGAGACATGGGGGATAAGAATAGAAGAATATGGGATCATCAAACTTGTTGAGTTGGAGAATTCATTGTCTAACTTTTTATTTTTGTCCAGAAGCGGCTATAGAATACCACATGCTTTTTATTTTATTATTTTTACTAGTGCTTCAACTACTCCAGAACTTTCCAAAAGTGCTCACACTTTATTCATTTGTTTGACCTCTATTTTGTTGGCTCTATAGAATGGTTTGAGTGGGCCAAGCCAAGTCCTACACAAGCAAGATGCTCGTTAATGGTGACATTGATTCTCATCATTTAAATAAATAATTAAAAATTTAAATATTAATCCTTGTATGTGTGTAATAATTTAATTAAAAAGGGTTTACATTTTACTTTTAATACTTCAGGAGATGTTATTTTTTGCTATTGATAGATCTTACTTTTTATGCTTAAAAAAAGATACCACCTAGTTTGGTATACATGTCTATTTTATTTTTGTTTTTTATAAATTCTAAACATCATTTATCTCATTTCAGGCTTGGTGTGAATGCACAAAATCCACTTTACTTCCTATAACACTATTTTTATGTCATAATTTGGTTGATGTATTAGGCATTTAGGCCGAAGTTTCTCTAGTTGATTGTGTCATAATTATTCATTTGGGACCACCTAGTGTCAAAATTTTACAAACCAATAATGTTTAGTTAGGATTTCCCTTGGTGTGTATCTAAGTAGATGGCTCAATGGGTGAGGGTTGATTCAATTTTTACATATAGATTCAATGGTGGTTGATGGGTCACTCTCAAGATAACAAAGCTACATACAATTAAGGATGATTGTAAAGTTGGGAAAATAGGTCAAGCTTGATCTAACTTAGTTATCCTATTCAAAAAAAAAAAAAAGAAGCTTAAACTTACTAAATTGCATTCCATATACTAATAAAATATTCATCTAATTTGTTAAGATTTAGTCTATAATTCACAGGATTGTAAGTTTAAATTTTACTATTGATGTGAATATTTTTTCAGTTGATGACTGATATGAGTTTGGAAACACATCTTGAACATGATAAGCTCAATTTAATACACCTAAACTTTATTTGCAACCAAAAAAAAAAAGTTGCACTCCATAGGAATAAAAAAGCTAAATGGACTTCGCCTATTTATCTCGTTATATATACAAGCTGACTGGTTTAGTCCATTTATTTTATTTTATTTCTAGTATACTTATCACTTACCTAATGAGAAGATTGAAATATCAAAAAGCAAAAGCAAAAATGGCACCATAAATTAAATTATAACCTTTTCGTACTGTCTTCTCTACTACTCTTATATTACTTTTACATAAAACATTTTGCTTAGATTTAAAATTTCTAATGACTTTTAATGAAAAAAAAAGTACCAATAAAAACAAAACTCCAAAACATTTAATTTCTTAAAAAAAAAATCAAAAGCACTGCTTAAACCACAGGAATATAGTAGGAATGAATAAGTCAGTCATACATAAACATCAGTAATTTACCCTTAAAACAATTTTGCTATAATAACTATACCTGAAAAGATAATGATTAATGATGCCTTTGAAACTCTGAATAATGATTCTTAAAAATAGATACTCCTAAAGCCAAAGGATATACAGCCCAGTGAGATTCTTAGCTCTACACAAATTAGACAGAAACAAATAAAAAATAAAAGCCTCCTCAATGATCAGAATCCTACCTCTGTACAAAATGAGCTTCAAGAAACCAAGTATCATAACTCAAGGCTTTCTAACAAAACTAGAGATCTCTACATCTTCTAAGTTCCGATTCTAAATTTTTAATTTAATATCCCATCAAGTCTTTCAACTGAACAGCATCATGAGATCTTCAATCCTTCCTGATCGAACTTCATCATCTGTGAGGGCTCCAGATATCATCTTCTGCTTCTTCGCCTGAACTTGTTGAAGCCTCTCTTCCACAGTATCCTTTTGTTATTTTCAACAAAAGCCGAGAATTTTCCATTTAGTTCATTCAATCACGCACAAGACAGAAGAATAAGGCACAGAAGTTTATGATACTTCTAGGAAACCGGCCAGCAAGAAAATTAGAGACCAGATCAAGAACTTTAGATGACATTGTTCATCATTGTTCATCTAAGCATGAATCACCAGGGTACTATATTTTTTTTAGATAAATGACGAGTACTCAGTCACAGTAAAAGAAATTACTGATCATTCCAAGAAAAAATTGTCAAGCCAAATTAGAAAATTCCTTAACAATTCTAGACATGCTGGGAAAATGCATTTACATTGTCAGAGAAAAGAAAGATTGGCTCACCCTGACAATGAATCTTCTAACCACAACTGTTCGCTTTTGTCCTATACGATGGATTCTCATAATAGCTTGTTCCTCAACCGCAGGATTCCACCATGGATCCTAGATATTCATCAACCCAAAACATAAGCAAATATCAAGACAAATGAAGCTTCACAGGTTGCACAATCATAAACGTACCATCATGAAGACATTTGAGGCTGCAGTCAAGTTCAAACCTACACCACCAGCTTTAAGTGACATCAACAAAACCTGAAAATTGGGTTTGATAAAAAAATAATTCAGTAGCTATCATCCTCAAAGCAATTTGAAAGAAGGGTTTGGAGTTTATGTTTTTTACCCTTCTCTCACTTGACTCATTGAACTCCTTCAAAACTCTTTCCCTATTCTTTTGTTGCAGCTTCCCATCAAATCTAAAATACCCAATTCCTTTCTTCCTCAAAGCAATCTCCAAGAGGTCCAAAAAAGAGGTCCATTGGCTGAACACAATGCTTTTTTCCGCAGGGCGATATCTCTGAATGTGTTCCAAGTATTCCAAAAGCTTTGAAACCTTGGTAGACTCTTTCCAGTCCTTCTCAACATCAGCAACCACGAACTGATTCTCAAATGGACAATTAATTAGGTCAGTTTTGTCTAGCTTCTGACGACAGAGAGGGCAGGGACCACTGATTTGGGTACTCCAGCTGGAAAGTAAGCATTCCCTACACATTCTGTGTGCACATGGAGTGAACACAGGATCATCTGCAGATTCTAAGCATATTGGGCATTCTAGTTTTTCACCCTTGCGAAGAGCCTCCATGGCCTCGTTAACATATGCACGCTGACTCGTAGAATTGGAGTTGAACTCGAGTAGTCTTTTTGCTAGTATGTCAAAGTCCACAGGCTTCCTTGAATTATTTCGGCTGCATATTTAAAACCAGTTTTCATCATAAAGAGAAAATGGAAGGTGTGGAAAGCATTATGCAATAGCCATGAAGTTCCAACGCTTAAAAACTGAATTATATAACATTATACGTCTATCAGACACAAGAAGGCACCTCTTTGCGCCAAGGCATATTTTGTCATTCGGTATCTTTACCCATGCTTCTATGAGTAATAATTACAAACTTACAAGGTCGTGTCTTTGTGTTTGCCACACCTACCTTGTGATCAGAAACGGGTGATTACAACATTGTCTCAACCGCAATAATAACTCTAGAATGTTGGCATAGTTGCTGAAAACTTTCCTTGTCCAACATACTCGTCGAATTGAACCTGTTTATATGACACGAAAAGTTTGAGGTGAGCCTGACTTAAAATTTGGGTTCCAATTCCAAATTTATTTTCATCGCATAATGAAATTGAAAACAAAAAGGATATCAGAGATAGAGATGGAAAACTTACTTTAGATTTCCTGAAGAGAGCATTATAAAATTCAGCCTCAGCTGCTGTCTGTTCACACTCAACTAATTGAATGTCAGTTGGTGGAAGAACAAGTATGGGCCTGGATACCGCAACATATTGAACATCAATAAGATGAAAAAATTTAACTTGTTGCAGAGGAGAAACACCTAGATTATTTGAAGCGAGGATGATCACCTTCCGCACTTATCCTTTGTTTCTTTTGTTCTTCTCAACATCAATGGCTTCAAAATGGCCTTGACTAATTTCAAGCCTCGAGGATCACCATTCTCATAAGGCCGTTGAACCAATTTATTAAACCTACAGAGACGCAAAGTACAATTAAAAATAGAAGGAAAAAAAAAAAAAACAGACACAATCGAGTATATCCATGCTACATACGCTGCACATAAGCAATAATATTTCGTCATACCATGCATAATTGCCCCATGGTTCAACTTGCAAGAAGCACAAGAGGCTGAATAGGTCTTCCAAGCTATTCTGCAATAGATAACATGTACTTCATCAATAAGGTGTATCAAAGGGAACTCTTTTGCCAGGTAACAGAGAACCTCTTCATAATAATTAATTGATGATTGCACGAAGCACTAAACTCTTGCAATTATGATGCACTAGTATACATAATATGGATAACATAGTAATAAACAAGGCAAACCTGTAAAGGGGTTCCAGTAAGACACCAACGGCAGCGTGAGGTCAGTGTAAAAGCAGCTTTTGCAGCATGAGATTTATAGGCTTTAATGGAATGGGCTTCATCTAGGACCACCCTTTGCCAGTTGACCCTATGGTAAATGCTGTTCTCTCCATACTGTTTTAAAAACCAATTATAAGGAAACTTTTCCATGCAAACGAAAGAAATTGAAATAAGGATAAAGCAACATCATATTACGGATTTATATGCATCTGCGAGGACACGATATGTTGTTAAAACAACATCACGCCCTGAGATCACCCGAGGATCATTGGTCCTGTCCCCACCATAGTGAACAAAAATGGATATACTTCCTGGCTTGGAATGGGTTTCAATCTCGTCCTGTGGAATTCAGTAAGACTCCTGGTGAGCTATTTTATCAGAAATGTAAATTTCCTAGATAGACAGAAAGATACAAATGGATAGTCACAGTATAATTGAAACTCGAAAACTTTATGGTTCAACAATCAACGTTAATGGTCTTGACGTTTGAGCCGTTTTGATTTAATACTTTAATACACTGGAAATTTAAACAAAAAAAAAACAATGGAAATTACCTTCCATTGACCTAGCAATGCCATGGGACAAACAACAAGAGTGCCGCCATCAACTAATGTGGCGTCAGCATGAGAATCTTGGTTCCTGTTCCTTAAAAGACCAATATTATCTCCTCTCCCTTGTCTTGCAAGAATTAGAGCAATAGTCATGACAGTCTTCCCCAGTCCCATTGCATCTGCGAGAATCTACAGAGCAACAATTTTGTAGTCAGATAAAATGTTTGAACTGAATGTAAACTGCAGCATGTTTAAAGGCAGGACAATCTCACTCCTCCTCTTGGCAATCGAAATGCAGGCGGCAGCTTACTTGTTGCTTCCCCTGTGAAGTTGTTTACGTAAATAGAGGGAACCCTCCTGTAAGAAAGCATTTGAGGTCAAGCCGCATGTGAAATTTGACCAAGCACATGGCAAACCAGAATACTTGTTTCCCTTTATTACTTTCTCGTTTTCCTCGTTATCTTACTTTTCTACTTACTCATCATTTATACAATAGGCTGCCCAGCAAGGATGAAGAGTACTTTCAGCATTCTGAGCATTAGTTCCTTTCTCTAGTTCCGACATCCAATACAGAGCTTGCTTCTGGTAAGGCTTTAGATCACACATCAGTGTGCTTGGCCCCTCCATCTCCTAAAAATATGAATTACACAAAGGTTGATGATAAATCAAGAGTAGCCAATTAGAAGATGAAATGATAATTAGTCAACCAATTTCTATACCTCCAAGTCGTAGACTTCAGCTGCTCCAACAAGCATACTCAAAGATGATTGTGACACAGCTTGTTCATCATCTTGATCTGGAGAACCACCCTTTCTCCGTTTCAAGACAGGCATATTTGATGCAGCTTCATCAGGATTACCCTGTAAACATCACATTATCAGGCTTCTTGTAACCAGATATTGCTTACAGAATGGATGTCTTAAGCATGGATGACTTAATATGTTAAAGAGACTATATGATCAAATTTCATTGCTTTGTTATACCCTAAATGCATGCAAGCTTAATAATTCATATATGTGTTAACCACAACGATACTATAGTAAATGACTTACATTTACAGAATCACAGACTTGACCATAATTAAACATTCCAATAATTTATTAAAAAATTAAAAGGGTTGCAGTTAATAATTATACATACCCTGAGACTGAACAAACGCTTTCTAGAATCAAGTTCCTCTGGAGTAAAAGCAGCCTGATTTAACAAAATAAAAGCCCATTAACAATCAATCACAGGAAAAAGAAACGTAAATATGTAGAGAGGTTTATTACATTCTGATATGGCTTCATTTCTATCAATCTAAACACTGAGATGAGAGGATAGACAGAAGGGTCAATGTAAGCAGGGCCATCAAGCTTCCATGAAGTGTTGACTTCTGACGTGAATGCGCTGTGGTGGATGTAAAAGCTGCAAAAGCCATCAATAAAAGTTTTATAAATATGGAATAACAAAGTGGCTTTTTTTCTTTTCAGCAGTTGGAAGATAGTTCAACACTGCTCAAGCTAGGCTTTTAAATTTTATATATCTATGTCAGTGTGAGCATACTTTGAATCAAATGTCATCACATAGCCATATCAAATTATTATGAATGATTTTAAATTTATCTGCTACAAACAATTTAAACTGAAATAGCCAAATGGAACTAGATAGCTTCACTAGGTTAAGATATTCTCAAGTAGAAGAGTCAGAACTTCACCTTACACACAACATGACTTCTTGCATCATTTGTAAGAAAGGCGGTGCAGCCACGCATCGGCCTTTAACCTTCACCTTTCCAGAACGAACGAGTGGAACAACCTCTTTAGCCCATTCCATAGGAACCCGTCCAACCTAATTTGAATCACATACTCAACACTGTCAATCCTTGTATCTTAATGTTATTCAATATGTAAAATAAATTCTCCACTATAGATCATAACAACGACAACAAAAACAACAATAATAATAGTTCGTGAAATTTAAATGAAACAAATGTCAAAGAACAAAGCAAACCTCTCCGGAACGCTTGGTTGAAATGCGAAGAATCCATTTCGAGTTGTGTTTCGCAAATGCAGATCGGAAATCAAAATATACAATCTCATTGTCCACTAATTTCCTCCCTTTGGTAGTTGAAAGTACAGTAATAATTGTCCTACCCGCTAAAAACCAGTCTCGATCAACTGGAAAGTCCCCATCCTCCACATTTGGAGGTCTAGGTTCAACCTTTTCCTTTTTAACCTGCGAAGACTTCCGAAAAATTGGAAAGGAACTAACTTCTTTGAGGATTTTTACTTCATCGCGATCAGGGGTAGCAACTTCTTTCTTATCAGAGGCCTTATTTGCAGAAGCCAAATCTTGTGTCAATTTCGGACCTTCAGCCTGGACTGATGGCTGCTGTTCCGCAACGGAGTTTATATATTCTTCCTTTGACATAACTTTTGCGTTTGTGGCCTTGAGAAACTCTTCGTATCCAGCTTCCCATGAAGACTTCGAAATACCGGTAGACCCTTGCGTCTGGGTTTGGGACAGCAATGAACCAGAACCACCAGAATCCATTTCTTCTCTCTTTGAAACCTGCTTCTCGGGGTCGACATTGACTTCTTCCTTCACTTTCTTCTCCACATTCAACTCGTCGACCGGTTGCGCCACTTCATGAGAATCATCGGAACCATTTTCTGCTTTCGCCGGGTTTTGATTCTCAAGCGCCGGATAAACGGGTTCCTCTTTCACCTTGCTGTTCAGACACATTTCATCGGACACACGCGAATCATCGAAGCCCTCTTGCTTTATCGGAGTCGGTGCCAAAACCCTCGAGCCAGTGCTAGCAACAGCCCGAACCACCGTGACGGGCCGGGCCAGAAACCCGGGATTGTTGTTGAGAAACTCCACTGCAGCATCCAGGTTGAACTGAGACTCCTTCAGAGCTAAGCGAACGGCCAGTTCGGGAACCTCGAAATCGAATCGTGACTGTACCTTCTTGATCGACTCGCACGAAGGATCTGCCTCCATCATGCATATAGCATTCAGCAAAAAGATCGAATATGAGAGAGGAATGTTGAGACTTGAGAATCGATGAAGAGAATGAAATACTTAGAACAAGTCGATGAAGAAGAAGACAATGAAAATGAAAGTGGGACTGAGAACTCGTTAAAATTTATAATGGACCGAAGAGATTCAGAATGGCGCGAAACCAATTTTACTGTGGCGTCAATGTTATGCCATAATCAATTTAGGGTGCGTTTGGTTTTCTCCCGTTTCACGTTCAGAAAGTAAAATTTTACTTTTTAAAAGTTGAAAGTTGTTTGGATAAAATATTTGGCAGAAAAGCACATCCTGAAAGTACATTCAAACAGTAGCTGAAAATAGATTTCTGAAACGTAACTATCTGAAGCTTTTGAAAAGTGGATTTGAAAAGTAGGATGTTATTTGACCATACTACCCTAAGTTTAATCTTTTATTTTTTATTTAAAAAATAGTTAATTCATTAAAAATATAATTATTATTTTAATAATAATAATTAGGTATCAATTTTTTAATATTATAAATTGAGTAATTAATCATGTTAATTTTTAGCATTAATGTATAATAAAAATTATAAATCTTTATTACATCTTTTAAAATTACAAATTAAAAAATACAAATAATTAGAGATCAAATTTTTAGCATTATAGATCAAAATTTATATTATTTATAATCTTTATTATATTTTTTAAATATTTTGAATATATTACATTTGTATAATAAAAATTATAAATCATTATAAATCAATGTCCTTTTTGGTAATTGTACATTCAAAAATACATTTCACTATCACAAACCAAACAACTTTCAATATATCAAACTGACTTTTAAAAAAATATATCCAAATACAAATTTCGTTACAACAACTGACTTTCATTAAACTGACTTTCTTTAAATGAACTTTTATCAAATAAACTTTTAGCAAATTGAAAATCAAACGCACACTTAGGCGCCTTGGGGAGAAAGCACATTTTCACCGTAATCAACTTTTGGAGGGAAAAATTATTGTTTATTGTTATTGATGGTCAAATTATAATTATATAATTGAAATATTATAATTATGATTATTAAGTTAGAAAATTAATAAATACAGGGTCCACCAATCTATTTTGTCAGAATAAATAAATACTCCAGTAATTGCAATATAAATAAATGGAGATTTTTAAGCGCAAAATAAGCTGAGGAAATCTACATATTTTAATGCTTATTTTTATAAATTAATTCAATGATTCATTAACTAATAATATTTTTTTGGCCTAAGTTAATAATATTTTTTAATATAAAAAAATTTAGGTGAATTGAATCAGGGACTCAAGAGCATATATATAAATTGTGTTAAGAGAATAAATAATTACTGAAGCATAAATTACACTCATATAAGAAATTGAGAGATTTAATCAAAACAAGATAGTCATCTTTTTTATTTGCCAAAAAAAAAAGTATTTGTGACAATAACATTTCAAGCGCGTTAGAGACAAGGACAAGGGCTCATTTACCACAGTTTGTCTAGATGCAACAAATAATTGAATAAAAGTAACCTAATTAATGGTGTAAAGCTACATTACAAGAAGCTAAGAAAAAGAACTAAGTTCTAAGTATGAAGTGGTATTAGATCAAGTTTTTAAAAAAATAATGGTCATATGCTTTAATACAATAGTGAGAGTGAAATTATATTAAATTTTATTGTTTAGGATTTAAAATGTATTAAATAAAAGTTTAGAATTTAAATTACTTTTAAACCTATAATTTAAAATCTAATTTATATATTAACTTTTTTTTTAACCAGTAGCCATGTATATTTTTATCAATATACGTTTCATTACATCTATATTAAACCAATGATGGTCTGTATGCTCAGTTCACTAACTTTAATATGCATATAACGTAATATTTAAAATTGAATATTGGCTTTTAGTCAGTTAAGCTTCTTTAAAATATTTTCAAACATATTTTTGCATCATAGTAAATTAAAGTAAATTTTAATGAAGTTCGATAATGCCTCAACGTTGAAAGTAACTAGAATATGGGTCTAGTACCAATAGAACATGGAAAAAAAATAAACTTTATATGATGTGCCTGTATATTTAAGGAAGAATGACAATAACATCTCAAAATAAAGAATGTATGAAGTTAGACTCTTCATAAAATTTTAAAAAATAAATTACAAACACTTATTTAAACAATTGCAATTTTAAAAGACAAAAAATCTCTAGGATCAGAAACCTCTCAGCATGAGCTTCTTAGCATTTCTCAGCGGCCAAATCTAATATATTCAAATGATCAAAACCGCATCAATGTACAGATTCCTCGGCTTTTAAAAATGCATATGAACAATTTAATTTTAATCAGTGAAAAAATAAAATTTGAAAAGATCACGTAGGGTTAAAAATAAGTTAGGCCAAAGCCAAATTTTAACTAAACAATCTTAGCCTATTATATGAATATGCCTAATTATAAATTTAAGTCTCACGTTTTTGTCAACTACTCACTCCGTTTAAAAATATAAAGCATTTTTTAAAGAGTTGTATGTTTAAAAATATAAGGCATTTTTAGTCTTTCAAAGTGTAATCATTGCTTTTTTTAAAAAAGTGCCTCTATTAATAATAACTTTATATTTATTGTAGGGTGTTTAATAGAAGTAAATATGGAAAGATAGGGTTAGTTAAAAAGTAAATAATTACTTTTATTGAGGATGAAATTCTGTTAAAAACACCTTATATTTTTGAACGGAAGGAGTATATCGGACCAAAATTTAAACAAGAAAGGCTTTATGTCTTTCCAAGCTTGTTTATTTAGTTTTTGTCAAATAAGCTTAGCTTGGCTTGCAGAGATATACAGTCCATCCCATTTAAATTTTGGCCTGACTTATTCAACAAAAATGACAAGGCCTAAGTTTATAATTATGCATGTTTATATATAAATAGGCTAGGCTTGTTTAGTTAAAATTTGGCTTAAGCTTAACATATTTTCACTCGTACAAGATATTTCAAAATGCACTGTCTTTTTTTTTTTTTTACCATTTAGAAATAAATGATTTACATACATTTTTAAAAGCCATATGATGTATACATTAATGAGATTTTGATCAATTGAACGGACAAGATTTGGCCATTGAGGGGCGTTGAAGAACTCGCGGCTCAGAGGGTGTTACGTACGTGGCCCAAAAAAACAGAGGGTGCTTTGTAATCTTTGCTGCGGGCTTGTGTTATATATTATATAAAAAGAAAAAAATTAATAATATTTTTAGAGCGTTTTAAAATGTAATTTACCCTTTTCAATTTGCTATGTTAAGAAAATATACAAATGATGAAAAATCTTGCTCCCAAGCAATTTCACCATACTTTGCTATTATAAAATTTTGAAAAAATTAATTATTCAATCAATATACTTTCAACTCATTTGTAACTCAAATTTTTTAAAAATCTTAATTTGATAAAATTCAAGTCCAATAATTTAAGGGTGCGTTTGGTTTTTCTCCATTTCACGTTCAGAAAGCAAAATTTTACTTTCAGAAAGTTGAAAGTTTTGGGTAAAATATTTGGCAGAAAATACATCCTGAAAGTACATTCAAACAGTAGCTGAAAGTAGATTTCTGAAACGTAACTGTCTGAAGCTTTTGAAAAGTGGATTTGAAAAGTAGGATGTTATTTGACCATACTACCCTAAGTTTAATCTCTTATTTTTTATTTAAAAAATAGTTAATTCATTAAAAATATAATTATTATTTTAATAATAATAATTAGGTATCAATTTTTTTAGTATTATAAATTAAGTAATTAATCATGTTAATTTTTAACATTAATGTATAATAAAAATTACAAATCTTTATTACATCTTTTAAAATTACAAATTAAAAAATACAAATAATTAGAGATCAAATTTTTAGCATTATAAATCAAAATTTATGTTATTTATAATCTTTATTATATTTTTTAAATATTTTGAATATATTATATTTATATAATAAAAATTATAAATCATTATAAATCAATGTTCTTTTTGGTAATTGTACATTCAAAAGCACATTTCACTATCACAAACCAAACAACTTTCAATGTATCAAACTGACTTTGAAAAAATATATCCAAACACAAATTTCGTTACAACAACTGACTTTCATTAAATTGACTTTCTCCAAATGAACTTTCACCAAATGAACTTTTGGCAAACTGAAAACCAAACGCACACTAAATTACTTGTGATTCAGTTCCTTGACTTTAATTCAATTATAACCCAATTTTAAACTTTAATTAAATATAACTCCATTTTTATAATTTCAGTCATTTAAAATGTGAGTATGAAGTTTTAATAATAATAGCTTTATTCACTATATTTTTCTTTTCTAATGCAGGAATGACATTTTAAATGGATAAAATTGTAAGGATTGAATAGCACCAGATTATTTTTAGAGATTAAGTTATAATGAATAAAAATATAAGGGATCGTGTGATTAATTTTTCCTAAAATTAAAAAAAAGAATATGTAAATTAAAAGGAAAAAAATTGACAAAAAAGAATAAAAGATTAATTAAATTTTGTAATCATACTTCTCCTTTTTTTTTTTTACCTAAATTGAACTTACTAAAATTATATTATATATAGATCAACCTTCATGGAACCCAGGGTTGTCAGACGAGGACAATCAAAGCTTGAGCCCATAAATCTCATTGCCAATGGACACCATTGTCGACTTGTAAGCTTGAACCCAGAAATCTCATTCCAGTGGATGCCATTGTCAGAGTATCAAGCTTGAACCCAGAAATCCAACGTGCATCGGAGCTAACAACCCAAAATCCATAAGCACCTCGGTGAAAAAAATGAAATCAAATCTGAAAAAGAAACAAAAAAAAAAATTACACATCGCAACCCACCAATCAATTTACAAAAACGGGTAGAAGATTGAGGGTGGAGGGAGACAAGATCAAAGCTATAAAAAGAGGGAGGGAGATGAGATCAAAGCCATCTCTAGCCTCATGTTGTAGATCTGCTACGGCTTCTTTTTTGACTGTGCTGTTGCTGTTGGTGGCCATGGAGATGAATAGGCAATGACGAGCTCTAGAGTGTGAATCGCCGGCTGCAGGGTGAGAGGGCT